AGGTGGTTTCAGGTGGACACAAATCTGGAGGGAGATACTATTCAACCCAGTACAGAAGCTCAATTCCATCTGCAGCCTTAATTCCCCTTAGTCATGCAATCTAATATATTCATAGGTTCCAGTGATTAGGAGATAGACATCTTGGGGGCTGGGGTGGTTGAGGGATTCTTCTGCCTACTATAAATCTGATAAATAGATCAGCACTTGCTGTATCTCCAAGAAACCTTTATATTTTGTCCAGCCTCCTATCAACAGTCCTCCTCTCACTAACCTCTGTTGTACAGTTTTGTAGTAAGAGATACAGCCATAATTAGTACCACGGGGAAATCACTCTCCTCAAGTAGACACTCATACTGTTACTGTTCAATGTATGAAACTGATCACCAATCCATGATTCCTTAATGGTCTTTTTCTGTTTCTCTCCTGCTTCTCTCCTACTGCTCTGTGACACTGCTTCTCTCCTGCTGCTTCTCTCCTTCTTCTTCTCTCCTTCCGCTTCTCTCCTGCTGCACTGTGACACTCTTCACTCACCACCTCCATTTTTTCCCCCCAAGACAAAGTCTTGCTCTGTTACCCAGGCTGGAGTGCAGTGGTACAATCTTGGCTCACCACAATCTCCGCCTCCCAAGTTCAAGCAATTCTCGTTCCTCAGTCTCCTAAGTAGCTGAGACTATAGGCGCCCACCACCATGCCCAGCTAATTTGGGTATTTTTAGGAGAGACGGGGTTTCACCATGTTGACCAGGCTGGTCTCGAACTCCTGACCTCAAGTGATCCACCCTCCTTGGCCCCCAAACTGCTGGGATTACAGGCATGAGCCACTGCGCCCAGTCAACACCTCCATTTTTGACATAGCAGAAGCTTTACTTCAGTCAGTTCCCTATGCATAGAATTTCTTTTTATTCCCACTTAAACTATTCTAATCGATCATACAAAAACCATATATTTCAACTTTTTCTCCTTTAAACTTGTCCTAAGTAGGTAGTAGACAACCTAATTCTGACACACAATCCATGCGTTCATTATCCACAGAAGCTGCCAGAAAATTGCTGCAACTTCTTTGACAGTCTTCTCATTGAGAGTTAGAGTCTATATCCCTTCCCCTTGAATCTGAGTGGCTGTATGACCGCTTTGATTAGCAGAGTCATACGGAGGTGATCCGTGTGAGCCTCACGCGGCTCAGTCATAAAAGGGTATGCCACTTCTGCCTGACTGAGTTGGAATGCTCTTTCTCATGAGGGCCTCTCTCAAAACATTCCCTCTTGGGCCTGAGTTCCATGCTTTGAGAAGCCCATATACAGAGGTCACATGTAGCTGATTAAGTCTCAGAGTCCCAGCTAAACTCATCTTCAGCCATCCCAGGGCAGGGGCCAGACATGTGAGTGAAAAGGTCTTAGAAGTGGATCCTCCAGACCCCAGCTATGTGGGTCTTCCCAACAGAGGTTGTGAAGAAAATCTCCTTATTCAATATTTGTTTTCTAAAAATGGCTTCCTTGGTCCCTTCTGAGGAAGTCTCACTAACTTCTATAAAGATGCATTTCCTTTCTTTGTGGATAAATTTCAACTCGTTATGCTGAGTGAGGAAAGTCAAACTTAAAAGGGTACATACATATGCCATGTGTGATTCCATCAATATGACATTTTAGAGCTGGCACATTAATCTATGAGAATAGAAATATGATCAGTGGTTGCTTGGAGAGGTGTTTGTGATTATCTGGGAAGGGTCACAAAGGTGATAAGGAGTTGGAAATAGCCTATATCTTGATAAGGATGTGTTTTAGTCCATTTTCTGTTGCTTATAATAGAACACCTGAAACTGTGTAATTTATAAAGAAAAGGAATTTCTTACAGTTATGAAAGCTGAGAAGTCCGAGGTCAAAGAGTCACATCTAGTAGGAGCCTCCTTGGTGGTGTGGACTCTCTTAAGTCCTGAGGTGGTGCAGGGTATCACCGGGCAGTGGGCTGAGCATGCTAACATGCTAGCCCAGGTCTCTCTTCTTATAAAGCCACCAGTCTCACTCCCATAATGACCCATTAATCCATTAATCCATGAATAGCTTGATCCATTCTTGAGGGCAGAGCTCTGATAATTCAATCATCTCTTAAAGACCCCACCTCTCAATACTGCCACATTAGGGATTACGTTTAGGGGGACTTATTCAAACTATAGCAGGCTGTACATTACATGGCGGGGGTGGGGTCTACATTTTTAAAACGGATCAAATTATATTTTTAAAATCAGCGTATTTCATTGTATGTAAATTATCCTTCAATTTTAACCACTAAAAAGTGTGTAATAGCCTGAAGTCTGAAGTATATAAAATATAAATGACTAACTTTTATAAAAATACAGTTAGCTTGTAAAGAGTTGGGAGCTTACGCGGTTCCTTCTGTTAGTACTGTGCCTCTTGGATTATCAATGGAAACTATGATTTACTGAGATAATTAATAGCTAAGAAATACAAATATTACCCTTTAAAATGTTTAAAATACGTCACTTTGCTTTTCAATCACAAATATAATTCCTGTTCATTGTATAAATGTTAAAAAACATAAAACAACTTAAAAGCAAAAAAATATGTGATCTCAGTCACAGCCTTCGGGATAAGCAAAGGTCTATGTTTTATTAATATCAGTCCAGAAAATTGCAGGTGCAAATATTAGTGCAACGATACCACTACCTTCTTGCTATGTGCATACGTGTGAGTAGGGGGCGTGTATAGTCAAAGGTATGTACATCAGCACAGCTCTGCAGCCCTGAGAATGCTGCCTAATTGGGAAACTAATTTCACTCCATCCCACTGTGATCTCTACTTATAGGGCACTGATGATCATTTTATTATTTGGAATCTGATCCAGTGAGTCTTAACTGAACTTCACATTTACCCAACAATTTAGGGTTGATAGGTTTTTGTGTCATCCGTTCCTCTTCCACACAAGAAAAATAAAAACATTAAGCTACAATTTTAAGCATCTGGGGGATGAAAGTAAGGGTTGGGAATGACCTCATTGTATCTGGATGACTTCTCACACATTTCCTGTTAGTTCACCACATCAGCTACTCAATTCAACACTACTGTGCCTTAGCCAAGTTAATGTTGCACTGATCTTGATTTATGTGTCCTAATGGTCATTTATGCAGATCATTCAGATAAGAAAGAAAATAATAATTAGTGAGCCCAGACACAAATATTTGATTTTCTAAAATTTTATAATTTACCTTACTGTAAGGCAGTAGCAACACCCTGCCTTAATGCCTGCCTGGTTTCTAAATACACACTCTGATATGAAAAACACTGAGTCTACAATGTTAATACAAAATAGATGTGAGTGAACAGGGATGCTGCTGTGAGAACACTGATGATGGAAATAAAAATTACTATTATAATAAGATGTCACCCATGGTTAACAGGTTAATAAAACACATCTGTTCATTTCAAATTGCATAAAGGCAGAACTTATTTGGATTCTTCCTCAGAATACTAGCAAACAGAGAGTGGGAAACAACATACTGATTTTTAAACTGCCCTTTTTATGTGTAGTTCAGCTTCCATAAAATCCCTCTGAAATGTACTAGATCTAACTGATCCCTCATCTCCTGTGAAAAGACCAATCCTTTAAACAAAGACTGCTCAGATTTCTTATTTGTAAAGTGCACTAGTAATACCTGCCCCATAGGATTGTACTTAGAGCACATTAATGAATACAATTTATTCATAAAGTCTTTATTGAGCCCCTCTATATGCGTGTACTGTTCTCAGTCCTGAAGGCGTTGTGGTGAGCATGGCAGATAAAATGCCATCTACATTCTAGAAAGGGTGGATCAGTGAGGAATGTGGTTGTGAGTACATTAATGTGCTCTAAAAAACACTCTGCCTAAACTTTACATTCACATATACCCAGGGCCACAAGAAAGAAAGCACTTGTGTTGACTTTGCACCGCTCCTGTTGGGTAATACCGCTTTGCAGTCTGTCCCTCCTAGGTCCTTCACAACCAATGAATGCCTCCCTCCTTTGTGGCTCAGGTTAAATTTCATATTTGCCTAAGAAAAACACAGAATCTTGGGAAAGTTTAGCCTATTACAGACGCTAAGGAGGAACAGTCTATCTGCTTCTTATTTCTGTTAAAACACACACAAACTGCAGTGTGGGCAGACAATGTTACCTTGGTGATTTCCTTCCCTCTGTTCTCAGCTAAAATTGTGCAAGGCTAATATGAGCACCTGAGTTCTACAAGAGAGGACACAATTTAGACAGGGAAGCTATTAGAGAGCAGGGGAAGGAATGGGGCCTTCCACAGGCTGAATGCTAACCAGATTAAAATGTGTGCAAGGAAATTACACTTACGCATTTTAATCTGAGGCGACTGAGCTGGTGCATATTCTCTTAGCTGAAAGGAATGGCGGAAATGAGCTCATTTGAGTAGTGTGGGGACAGTGGCCTCACTCTTGCCTTCCCGCGCCATCCCCTTACGTTGCACAGTATCCTGCAGACTGATCATTTTTCTCCCTCATGGAAATAAAGGTTGCTTAAAAGGGCCAGAAGGTACAGCTGATTCCAAGTGAAGCTGACTCAGACTGATGGAGGAAAATGAAGAGTAAATGCAATTTCATTTCAGGTTTCTGAAAGCTATTTACAAATGAGAGCAAAAAACACCATAGAAATCATAAGCAATGCAGTATGCAGTGTCCCCAAATAGATGATTAAGATGGAATGGATTCACTTAGTAACACCAACTGAATATTCAGGGACTGTCAGAGCCAGCCTGGAGGAGCTGAGATGCTGCCAAGCCGAGAGAGCCTGTGTGCCCTGGGAGAGGAGGGGTCTCTCTGCCTCTCCTCTTGGGTAGTTAGTGGTGATGCTGGGCTCCCAGCTTTGAAGCTTCCTAATTCAGGCTTTGATTTGTAGGCTCTGCACTAGCCCCTAAAGGCATGAGCCTCTGCATTCCAGAAATCTGATGTCACCCAGGCACAGTTGTGTAGGGGTTTTTCTTTTGTGAACCTTCCCTGAGCAATCTGGCTGCTATACTGGGGAGGTAGGGGAGCTTTTCTATGCCTGTCTTCTCTATGATTATGTGAAAGCTCCTAATTCCAAAAGATTTCATCTACCCAGCAACAGCCACCAACCCGCTTCCTTCTACTGTTCAACTTATTACTGTGCTTCCTTAACGCTGAGATGCACATTATTTTCCGCTTTAAAACTCTGAAATTGAGGTAGATCTTACAACTGATATTGCCAACTGATACCTTGCAATCTATATTGTGGTATTTCTTTCCCACTCTTTTTCTCTAAACAGGGGCGATTGAATAAATACAGTATCCTGGTCAGGAAAAAATGAAACTCTGCCTCCAGCCTCTGAAGGCCACAAAGAATGAAATTGACAGAAGTGAGTAGGAAGAGAGTGCCCAGGGCTCAACCCTGATTGTTCTGGGTCAAGTAGCCAAGACAAATGGAGGTCAAGGAGATGGGGCCTCAGACCTCTAACGGATGATCCATGCTGGCTCTGCCAATCTGTGACCACATGGTAATTGTCTTAGAATAAGGGAATCACCCACATTTGTCCCTCATCTTTGTATTGGTTTGTTTTAGCTTTAGCCATCACAGCTATACTAAAAGAAAAAGGGTCTTTTTCTACACAAGAGTGGTGAAAGGAGCACTTCCCGTGTTTACCTTTTAATGTCACTTTTAAATATATGCCCCCAGATGTCTAACATGCAAATTCTTCCTGCAGCATAATGTGCCTGAAGCACTGGGTTTGCCAGGTGCCCCCCCAAAGGAGCCCAACATCCACATGCCCACCTCCCCATCGGCCCAGCAACGTCTGTGTCCTTCCGCCCCTTCTTTCAGGGTTCTGTTGAGTGATTAAAGCCACTTGGAGAAATAAATTTAGGCAAAAAGGTTAATGGATCATAATATCCGCTTTACTGGGGTATTGGTATTTTAAAGGGTTCTTTGAGAAGCACAGCATCTTAATTAAATAATTGACTTTGAATTGAAGGATTTTTCAAGATGCAAGGAAGGATACTTAGGGCAAGAAGGATTTCAAGTACTCATTGAATCCTATCATGTGGGCACCCACACACTCTGCCTGAGCCCAAAGGGTCTGGGCATCAAGAAATTTAAAAAGCTACTTCTTTGCTCCTGGCATTTTCATCACAGCTTTGGGGATCCTAATAAGAGAAGAGTAAAAAAAAAAAAAAAAAAAAAAGAAAGAAAGAAACCAGTTTCATTTGCAAATTAGTTGTTAATGAACACTTTAGTCTTCTTTCACGATGACACAGGCTGAGGGTATTTACTCAATCTAAGTTCTCTTCAGCTTAATGGGAGTATTTGACTAGTCTCTGTAACAGATTCATCAAAACAAACATTTATTCTGCTACTACATGAGAGACACTCTGACAGCCACTGGGAGAGATTAAGGAATATATAAGACATGGTCACTGCTTTTCAAGGCCTCACTATCTAGCTGGAGAGAAAAACTCATATGAGCCAGACGGAGAGTTAAATGACAGACTGAATACAATGACACATGGATGACACAATGGAAATGAATCAGCAAATGCAGGGTTGAGTATTTCAGGAGAAACAGTTTGCATAAAAAGCCCTTGGATGAACTGAATCTGAAGGATGGTATTTGGATGACCTGTTATCTTTATTCCCCTGGCGCCTTCATCTTCTTTGGAAAATTTTCCTCTTTCCATTCCATCTGGTTGTCCAGGCTGCGGGTCCCACACGGTATGACACCTGATTCGGCTTAGAGCAGTCAGGATTCTTCACCCCTCTGATATAAAGAATGGCTCCAAGTAAACACATGACTCAACCTGGGCCAATTGGAGCTCTTCCCTGCATTGACTGATTCACACACAGGGAGGAGCTGTCCTCTTCTCTTGGGATCTCTAAACTGGGGGCTGCGAAGATGTGATTGTTAAACGACATTCCTTTCTCATGGAGAAAGCTTCCCTACACAGTGAAGCTAAACTTCAGGAGAAAGCAGAAATGAGAGAAGAAACAGGGATGTTCCTGACATCTTTTGAGCACTTACAGGTAGGTCCACCTTCTAGTTTTATAAGCCAATCAATCCCCTCCACATCTTATTCTTCAGACACTTCTATCCACCTTACTTCTGGAGCTCAGTTGTCTTCATGTTAGTCCACTTGATGTGTTCTCAAAGAATCACTAGTGTTTGGTTCATTTTTTTTCCAGTCTTTCATCTCTGTGTTTAATTTTGTGTAGTTTCTATTGTTATGTATTCAAACTCACTGATCTTTTCTTCTGCAGTGTTTAATCTGCAAGAATCCCATCAAATTTTCTTTTCAGATATTACTTTTTTAATATTCACAAGTTCTATTTGAATCTTTTAAAAATATACATATCCCATTTCTCCTCTCAACATGTTTGTGTTTTTCCCTATACCTTGAATATATGGAGCATATTTATAGTAGCTATTTTTAAATCCTTGTGTGCTAATAATATCATATCTGAAATTTCCAGGTCTGTTTCTTTTGAATGAACTTTTTTTCTGATTATAAATCATATTTTCCTACTTCTTTACATGCCTGGTAATTTTTAGTAAGTGGTAAATCTTGTACATTTAATATTGTTGGACTTTGGCATAGAGCTAATTTACTTGGGATCAAGTTTGATTCTTTCAACACTTTGTTTTAAGCCTTGGTAGGGCAAGTCTAGAGTAGCCTTTTGTTTAGGGCTAATTTAGCCCAATTATTCAGGCAACATCTTCCTGAGTAGTCTGCCTGATGCTCTGTACATTATGAATCCTGTGTGAATTCTAGGAATTCTTCTGTCTACTGCTTTCTCTCCCAGCCTCATAGAGTCCTATACCTGTACTTGCACTTGATATTCAGCCTCACGGAGCCCTGTGCCTGTACTTGATATTCAGCCCCATAAACGAAAAACTTCAGCCGAATTAACTTTAAAATGGTATAATTGAGCAATGAGCAATTCGCGAATCGGGCAGCCTCCTGAGCCACAGCAGCCTCAGAGACTCCTGTGCAGCCACGTGGTGAAAGAAGATTTATGGACAGAAAAAGGAAAGTGACCTATAGAAAATGGAAGTGAGGGACAGAAACAGCCGATTGGCTACAGCTCCACATTTGCCTTATTTGAACATGATTTGAACAGTTAGCTACATGTGATTGGCCAAAACTTGGTGATTGGCACAAGGGTAGGGTACAGTCTGTTGACACCTCCACTGGTAATAGTTCCCGGTGTACAGAGAAACGTTTAAGCCAAACTTAAAATATGTGAGGAGGCAGCTTTAGGCTAGACTTGATTTAAAAAGGCAAAGATTCCAGAGAACCCTGAAGATTTACAGAGCATGTCCTTTCTCTTTCTCTGTGTATATGTGTGTGTAGCTTTCTCTGCTCTAGGATTCTGTAAATACTGAAAATCCTAGCTGCCTGAATTCTGAAGTCTACCTCCTAGACTCAGTAAGACCACTGGGCTTTGTCTGGGTTCCTGCCCTGTACTATGCATCGAAACTGCCTTCGAACCTGGACAATTACAGGACTCAGTACCGTTCCTTCCCTTCTCTTGGAGCCACAGTCCGGTGCTGCCTCTTGTTCAATGTTTGAAAGTTGTTATGTTCTATATTTTGTTTGGTTTTCTAGTTGGGTATGGTGGAAGGCAAATCTCACGGCACTTAATCTTTCATGGATAAAATCAGAACTCCCGAACTCTAACTTTTTAAGTACTTTTTATCAAAACATTTTTCTTCAGAAAGAATCTATAATTTATACTTAGAAAAAAATAAGATTGTGTCCAGATAATAACTAGTTTATGCTTATCCCACCCGATTCCTTATTAATATGCCACATCTCCCCACTTTCCTACTTGAACTGATCTCAGGAGCCTCAAGTTATGAAACTTGGTTCATCTGTCAAATGGGGATAATAAAAGTATTCATAGCTTGTGGTGAAGATCAAATGAGATAAGTTATATAAAGCCTGGAATATAATGATTGTTCTGCAAAGGGCAACTATTAGTACTACTGAATGAATCACAGAAAGTGGAAATACTGATTTAGTTGAGTGAGATGGCAAGATTGGCGGGTCCATTTCCCTAAAAATAAACACAGACAATAACACACACACACATTTTCAGCATAGTTTCATTTGGTGACAACTTTCAGTCCAACAGACCTTGTTAACTTCTTACAAAAGTTCCTCAAGAGTTCAAAGGTTCACTGAAAATGCATACCATTCAGTATTTTATGTTCTATAAATCAGATTTTAAAATAATAATTAAAACTAAATATGAGCTGCATAATTGTTATTGAAATATGATGCCATAAAAGCAACCAGTTCTGGTCATCTGAGTCCTAGGGATGTCGGAGTCTCAGAAGACAGAGCATGGGAGGAAGGAATGGTTAGGTTGGTCTTGAAATTGAATGATAAGTTACAAAATTTGCACATCTCCTAAATCCTGAAAACAGAAGTAATAAAACTTGGTGTCTGTCTTTCATAAATATTAAAATGAATTAATTATCTGTGGAACATTTTGTTCTGGATTTTGATTTCAAGATACCATTGCTCTCATTTTAAAATAGCATTCCCATCAGATATTTGTATTGCTGGATCACTATTCCTCACTCAGGAAATGATCAATCTCTTAAATATTCAGGCCTTTTTATTCCTTTACAGAGTAAAGATTTACTAAGTATCTATATACTCCAGATACCCTGCTCAGTTCTTTCACATGCTAGATTATTTACATTGTTTTCTTACAACATAGATAATCATTGCCAGTTTATAGTTAAGGAAATTGGGGCCAAGAGAGGGGTTATGCTTTACATAAAGTCACACAGCTAGTAAGTAAAATGTCTAGAGAAATAGGACTGAGCTATTTATCCTCAAGGAACCCTTTCCTTTAGTTCTAAAAAATCTATTAAAAAATGAGGATGATGCCTCAGTCTCAAAAAGACCATGAAAACACTGGCTATAGTGGCAGATGGATGCCTTTACCAACTGTAAGAGAAATGGGAATGATGCTGCCAGTCCCTGGTAAGCTGAGATCAGTGAATTCACCCGGCATCTGATCCCAGGAAGATGACCTCAGGGGGTACTATGTTGCTTCTTCAAGAAGACTTCCGAAATTTGTCCCAATGTCTAAGGAATTAAAACGTGCTTTAAAGAAAGGGTACAATTGAAGCATTTTACTTCCTATTTTGCTTCTGTCTATTTGCTCAGGAATTCTCCATAGAGGCGTGAACAAAGAATTTACTACAGGGTTTATATATTCATGCAAATAACATTATTTCTCTAGAAGACTACACTCTTTGTTCTTTCAGATGCTGGAACATTTGTTTTCTCTTCTACTTTGTTTAAAAGGATTTTGAGGCAAATACATGGCAGCAAATAATCTGAGGCTTCCCAAGCTCTTTCATATACACTGAGTAAGAAAAAACTGTGCTCCTGAACTTGGGTTCCCTGTTGCTTCCAGCAGGTGTAGGATTTGCCACTGCCAGAGACAAAACAGCTGTGCAGCATGAGTTCCTGCCGGAGAGATATACATTCTGCCTTTGGCCAAAGTGCTTTGAATTCACTGGGTGCTTTATGATCAGCTTTTCTGATTCTACAACTGTAAATTGTGATTTCATCAGCTCTTGTTTTGTTTTGTTTTGTTTTCCCTTCTGATTTAGTTGAGGGGAAAACTCTTTTATCCCCCTTGATATGGCTTAGCATAATGGTTTTTGGTACATTGAGGAAGTCTGAAGTAATAGCTGAAAAGATTTCAGGTGTTCTGAGAGGAACTGATGAGGGAGCAGGGAGCCTGGAAATAGCCCTCCACTGAAATCATCCCCCAGGACTGCCCCTTGGTTGCCTGAGCTGTGTTGGAGTGGAAGATCCCATTATGTGGAGGAATCCCTGTATCTGGAGGTATTCTCTGGAGGTAGATCTGTGACCAAAACCACTCAAAGTAGAAACACACAACTTTATACCTTCTTTCTCTATTTGTCTTAGTCCATCTGTGCTGTTTTAGCAAAATATCAGAAACTAGGTAATTGATAAAGAACAAAAATGTATTTCTCACGGTTCTGGAGGCTCGGAAATCCAAGATCAAGGTGCCAGCAGGTTGTGTGTCTGGCGAGGGTCCAGTCTCTCCTTCCAATATGGCACCTGAACGCTGTGTCCTCGCCTGGTGGAAGGTAAAAGAGCAAAGACGGGAGAATGTTGTGTACTCACATGAAGGAACAGCAGGAGAGCAAAGAAGGTCCTACACAAGTTCCCTCCAGACATTTTATAATACACTAATCCATTCATGAGGGCAGATGCCTCATGACTTAATCACCTCCCAAGTGGCCTCATCTCTTAATACCACCACAGTGGGGACTAAGTTTCAGCATGAATTTTGAAAAGGACACATTCAAACCATAGCACTATTGTAGGAAGTCAGCAAATACATTTTTATAAAATAAGAGCACATTTTTCTTTAGCCTTTATAAATTCTGATTCTGCCTGTGCCATGATAAATGATGCCACTGATATCCTCATGGACTCCCATGGACTCACTTAGCCCACAGACATCCTCTTTTCTTTCTATGGTAGACTCTGGAGGCTGTGCTACATTAAGGAAATAGCCCATTGCTTTTTCTGTATGTAGAGTGCAAGCGCCTTTCCTGAACCACTATTGAATGAACATGAATGTTCTTCTTACCACTCTAGCCATTCCTTTTCAGTCTCTTTTGCTGGTTCAGCCCCATCTCTCTGACCTCTAAATACAGGAGTTCTCCTGGGCTCAGTCTTTGGCCTTGTTTTCTTCTCTATCTACACTCATTGCATTGTTGACCTGATCCATCCTCAGGGCTCTGAAGACCACTTAAATAGTGATGCTTCACAGATTAGTATCTTTAGGAGGAAGCTTTTTCATGAACATCAGACTGATCATGTTCAATTACTCACATCTCCACTTGGATGTCTAACACCCAAACCCTAACATGTACAAAGCTAAGTTCCTGATATTTTTCCCAACCTTTGCTCCTGTAATCCTCTGCATCTCAGTAAAAGTCACATATGTTCTTCTAGATGCTCAGGTCAAAAGTAGTTAAGACTGACACTATCCTTCTCGCACACCCCACATATTATAAGCCATCAGAAAATCCTGACAACTTAGTCTTCAAAATGTATCCACAGCCTGAACACTTCTTACCAGCTCTACTGCTCCCACCTTAGTCAAGCAACCATCATCTCTCTCTTGAGTAAGCATACAGCCTCTTAGGTTATCTCCATTTTTGTCTATGTCGTTTGTCCAAAACATAGCAACAAGAGCAATCTTATTAAAAGATCAACTAAATCATGCCACTCCTTAGCTCAAAATCTTCTGATGGCTTCTGATCTCATGCAGAGTAACATCCAAAGCCCTTTCCATGAGCTAGAGGGTCCTACACGATCTGCTCTCTTTTCTCCCCATTGTACTTCTGACCTTTTCCCCTACTACTCCTGTTACTCTCTCTATCTCCCTCTCCCTCTGTTCCAGTCCATTAACCTGTCCTGCTCACTATTTCCACTTCAGAGTCATTGCACTTGTCTTTCTCTCTGCCTGCAATGCTCTTCCCCACATATCATAATGGCTCCAAGTCCTTGCCCCAAGACTTTATTCACATGTCACCTCACATGGAAATAAAGACCAACCAAATTAGAACAGGCCACACCTATTTACTCAGAGCTTGCTAGAGCAATGAGATTAGCCACCATCAACTTTGAGTTCTTCCATTTTGGCAGGAACTCAGGCAGGCAGAGAAGTGGGAAAGCTTAGTAGTGGAAAAAAGGGAAGGCTTTCCATACACCCTGATTGGAGGCTGTTGGTGTGGCAAAGCTGTAGGCAGGCTAACTAGAAGTGGGGCTTCCTATGGGATTGGTTAGAGATGCATGTTTGGCTTTCTCTGATTTGTCCTACATTGGAAGGGGGGAAAAATCAGGAAAACTGTCAGTTATTAATCAAGTCCTAGCCATTTGGGGATGATTATTACAGGGGTTATTGTTCAGCTTCCTGGATTGTTATCAAAGATAGTAGTCTGACTTCTTATACCTCTGACTCATAGGCTGCAGGCTAGCTTCCTGGGCTGTTTGTTGTAGATGTAGATACTGGGGTTGTTTTTCTGGGCAGCTTGCTGCACGTTGTGGCCCTGAATTCTACTTTTTTATGTGGTCTGACCATTGTCCATCTGTATATTCGGTCTTTTACTTCTCAGGGAGGCATTCTCTGACAAGCTCACCTAAAATGCCAACTCTCCCCCACTCCCTTCCTTTGCATTTCTCCTTAACAGTAGTCACTATATACCTCATATTTTTCTTATTTATCTTATTTATTGTATGCCTCTCCTACTAGAATATAAACTACTTGAGAAAGGGAATTGGGGTTCTTTTAAAACTTATTGTATTCTAATACCTAGACCAGGTCTATCTGGCCCATTATAGAAAGTCAATGACTACTGCTGAATAAAGCAATGAAATATTTATTAAGAATCTATTATTAAGGAGGAATTACACTAGTTAATAATTTTACCATGGAGAAATCTGACAGTCACCATGTTAACCAAGTGATCAAGATTAATGTTACCAGGAATGAGTCATATTGATATCATGTATTCATTGATATTAAGTGATGAGATCACCACATCTTTTCTGTGGTTTTCTTCCCCCAAACCCACAGCTACAATCTAATTATAAGAAAAACATTAAACAAATCCAAACTGTGGCACTTTCTGCAAAATACCTAGCCAGTCCGTCCAGTACTCTTCAGAGGTGTCAAAGTCATGGAAGACAAGAAAAGACAGAGAAAGTATCACAGACTGGAGAAGACAATTAAATGCAACGTGGTGTCCTGGGTTAGATTTTGTAAACGAAAAATGACACAGTTTTTCCATGGAACACTGATGAAGTCCAAACAAAATCTATGTAATATTGGTTAATAATATATTGTTGGTTAATAATATATTATACTAGTGTTAATTTCTTACTGTTGATCACTGTGTCATGGTTATGTAAGATATGAACATCAGGAAAAGCTGAAAGAATGGTATATAGAAACGGTACTACTTTTACAATATTCTATAAATCTAGAATTATTTCAAAATGAAAGATTTTTTAAATTAAAAATATTTGAATGAGAGAAAAAGGAGTTACATTAGGAACTGGTGGGGGTATTTCAACTCCACAGAACCATTCCAAATGCATTTATTAAACATCACAATGCACTGAGCATTGTTGAAAATGCTAGTCATGAAATACCAAATAAAATTAAGGGCCTGACTTACGGTCAGGTAGAAAGAAGGCCACTATATGCTAAAACTGCAATGATTGGCAACTGGGAAAGAAAAGGCAGAGGCAGAGAGTTTAATTGTATGGAGACAGTTGGGTACAGGTAGGGTCAGTATCAGGAGAGCCTTCTTAAAGAAGGTTCAATCTTTGGGCTGATTCATAAGAGATGAGTGTTTACTTCATGAGGAGGAGCTTGATTGGATGAAGGGAGTTGGAAGAGCATGGGGGACAGTACAGAAGCCCAGAGGTAGGCAAGACAGCTTCACCCAGGAAGCATATAAAATTGAGTGCAGAATACCTCTGACACAGCAACGCCCTCTACCAAGCTGCACTGATTTCTCAAGAGATATTTTCTCTGTTTGCTACATAACTTTAAAATTGATGTTTTAGTCTTTTTTAAATTTTGAATTAAACCAATATACTCGGATCTCATCTTTAAAGATGACATGTGTCTAAAAGAATTCCAATTACTCTTAAATTTTGAAGTGTTTGTTCATAATTTAAAACTAGCTCATAGTTTAAAACCTTATTGTGTTCAGATGGTATTTAATCTTTTGAACGACATTACTGAGGGACTATTTAGGAAACTTTCCAATGCCGAGAGAGTGAAGTGATATATTTTCTCGAATGGCATTTTTGAATGTGTGGAGTGATTATAAATTCTGCTGGTTTGTGGTCCCTGGAGCCACTGAAATCTGGTCTGAAGTGTACTGTAAGTATATATTTTAATTTTTTTGTATAATGTCATATTGTGATATCCTGAAAAACCTTTCTGGCTGAGGAGAGACTGCCCTTCTTGGGACCAGCCAATTTATAAAGATAACAAATAACCTAGCCAGGAGTATGTCTTTGATATGCAAACTAATCAATCTAGAACCATACCTACTCTATCTGGTTTACCCACCCCAGGAGGCAATAGTCCTCTGACTTGATCATCCCAGAGCCAGGTGCCAGGCAACCACAGACCACCGCTATAGCTCAAAGCCCACCAGAACAACCAGTTATTCAAATGAGCCAATCCTAGACTGTTTGCCCTGCCACAACTTGCATTTCTTTCAGAAACTACAAACTGTGCCCTATACCTTCAGAAACTACAAACTGTGGCCTATACCTTCCTCCTTGCTCCTATTTTCTGCATCCTGAGCACCATGGTGTTTTTCCCTTGTGGCCATGTCTGGTGCATGCTGTGCCTCTTATTTAGAGGGGAACAATATTGAAAACCTTCTTTCAATGGAATTAGACTCACCATGCTGTCACTCAGTCACCTTAATACTCTAAGACCTGGGCCCAGTAAGTAGAGATCATTTATAAATCTCAATGGGATACAGACAACATTTTAACCAACTGAGTTTAATTCTGTTCATTGTTTTTGATTGTTATGGAATGCCAATTGATGCAACGAGAGTAGGCAATTATATCCCTAGTGATGACAACTGTGAGACGAGTGAGTTGAGTTAACTCCCGCCTGGTTTGAGACAGGTCAGGTGAGCCATCACCTAAAAGGAGAGTGAAATGCTGGCCACAAGATATATGGATCCTTTCCAGACCTGGGTAGGGGCAGTGTGGGGAAGGAGAGACATTTGTACCAAGTGTCACAGAAGCCCTTCCTCTCCTGCTGCCTCATAGATGGGAAATGTTCTGTCGGTTTGTGCACTACTGATTTGTATACAAGGAGGTCCCCTAATAGTATCAGAACTTCCTGTTTCCTTTGGCTGGAGCATTTGGGGCAATAAAGAACAATTCTTGTGACAAGACTGGAAGGCCACAGGAATTTCTGCTTCTATAGCCTGGTGATTTATTTGCTTTTTTCCTCCTTTGCATATCTGAGTCATCTGATCTCTGAGGATTAAAAAGGACACGGGGGCTGGTCATGGTGGC